TTGTGTTGCTGAGGGGAGATTGAAAAGAATTTTCAATTGACTATTGACTAATAGTCGCTTATTCTCAAATCTCTCCTTCAGGCTCGCCCACGCTGACTGAAAGCCGTCATTCGTGAGCGGGGACTTGGAGACAATTGCTCTAGCTTCGCCGCTGGTTTTGGAATTAAGATGGAACAATTTTTCCACCGGCGTCAATCTTGGATTGTTAATATAAACAGCTGTAAACAAGTCTCGGAAAGTAGGCCAGCGTAGGTAATCCCCACTGAAAACTTCAGTGTCGCATGGCGGGAGACTGCAACCCCTGGACATGGAGAAGTTGGAGGGGGGTTGCTCAGCTTGTCTATTTAACGCCGTGGCTCTTTCTATTTTTTCGCTTAGTTGAGCCGCACATCGCTCGTAAACGGAGTACGAGTAATCATATTTAGCTTGCATAGCCACCAGGTCACTGCTGCTGCAAGCGCCTTGGTTGAGAGCTTTGGAACATAACTCGTACTCGCGTTCTACCTTTTCCCATAAAGTCTTAATCTGATCTCGTCGGACTTGGAGAGTGAACAGTGACACGTCACTGTCCGCTGCGTCATTGATCTTCACTTCAAACTGGCCTAGTCGGTCAGTTATAGAAACGAAGTCGTTCAGTGCCATTTCGCTTGACTTCTGCATTTTTTGCGTAGTCGAACGGGTAATTTTTGGGGTAATATCTCTTGTTGGAATCGGACTCACAGTCTTGCGGACGGTTGTGCTGGTACTCTCGACCTTGAGTTTCCCGAAAACTGCTCTAGGTGAGGTTAAAGGTCGCTTTGACTCCTTGACGGACGGTGCTGTGAGTCGTGTTTGGCTGTTTTGATCACCACCGATTGGCATACTAGGATCTTCACAGAGCCAAAAATTGTACTAACCAGGTGAAATGTGATCAAATACAAATAATTTGAATCAGCAGAGAGAAAACGGAATAAGAAATGGCACAGGAACGATGGAATCGAGATATCAGAATAAAATGGAATGACCGAAATGGTGTGCACTATTGAGTCCAACGAAATCGGAAAATTTTGTTAAATTAATTATTTTACTAATAATTTACCAAATTGATTCTTATTTAGTTTCCTTTAATTGAGAAAAAATCTAATTATTTCTTTATTGAAACACCAGAGAAAAGGATTTATTCTCTTTTGACAAAGCGGCCGTGTAGGGGAAACGGATCGCGCAAAAAAATGATGCTTATCGCTTATTGCTTATTGATGGTTGAGCTCAAGAAGAAGCACGTTTATTCTAAACGCAGCTCAATGAAAAGGTTTTTTGTCATAGAATTATTTATATAAATTGTTATTTTAATAAAAAATCGCACGGATATTCGATTTAATACGCAACTTGGAAACGTCTTAACTTATAATTATGTTTTATAAATTTTTTATAAGAATAAGAAAAAGTAATGTATATGTTTGTATTTTATTAAGTAAACGCAGCTCAATGGCAAGGTGGAAACATACAAAATATAAAAGTTTCACAGAATCAGTTTATCGAAAACCGATCTTGACACTTTACAACCCTGTTGTTTGTTTACGTTTTACACTTGCCAATTAATTGGTAAAAATAAATATATAAATTAATATTGAAGCTGCTGTGGAGGAAAAATAACAAACGATACACATATAATAGGATGTGTGTGTGTGTATACATGCAGGTGAATTTGCACAGTGTGGTTTTAGTTAATTAAATACCAATTAGAATTGTGTGTTTTTATATATGTATTTAGTGTGTGATTCTTTGGTGAAGGTTGGAATGGAGAAGCGCATACACTTGTTGTTCAACGGAGCGAAAGCCTATGTGTGCAGATATGTCTGGATGTACTTGCGTACATCAATATGGCGATCGGTTAAATTTTTGGGTATGCACTTGTACATATATGTATATATATATGTACAGACACCAATATGGCGACCTTATCGGAGTCACTTTCTGTTTTATTTCTTTCAATATTTATCACTTTTTAGACGCCTTAATGGCCACGAACAATATTTTATCTGCGGGTTTTTTTGTTGAATTTTTTAAATACAATTGCCCCTCGCTTTAACCACGGACAATGTGAAGCGAAAAAATATGTTCAGACACACAAAAGAATTAATTAACTGGAGTTGCCGGAAATTTGGCAATGGACAAGTTGAGGTAGGTGCACTGCTACTTATCTTGTTTGAATTTATAGCTGTTCCTGGAACCTTTTCTTGCAGATCCACCAATGCTTGCTGGGGCGAACTGGATATACCAAATGTTGTTGCAGATAACACATAAATACTATAGCAACTAAGCAACAACACATGAATGATGCTGACACGCCAAGTTGTGAGTTCAGTGCTCTGCACTGGCAGCAATCGGCAGCGATCGCATGACACTTCTTTGCTGGTGTGCTGCGACGCTGAGAATGCTGAGTCGGCATGCCGACTGTGGTCCGATGGCGCGACGCATTGACTTTGCTAAGTAGAATTATGTTTTGCATTTGTCTTTGGCTTCAGTTCGTTTTTTAATAAAAAAGACACAAGTTGTCTATTTCGTACTCCGGCTCATAACCGTAACATTTGTTCTTATTGATCACATTATTGCACCACAAGGGCAATAATCACCAAGGGGGACGAAGTCAAGTCCTCCAACGTAATCATCATAAAAATCGTATCAGTGTTCACCTTGGATCGACTTCCTCACGGAAACGACGCTGGACCTGGAATTCACAATCAGCAGCTACGCGGGATCCCCACGGCTACCTGCTACGACACTAAATAACTTACATGCAGAAGGCATATACATTGGAATGCGCTTGGGACCGAACGGTCAAAACGTCATAGTGCTTACGCTGCAGATCTCACGCTGCAGGCAAGTCCACATATAAGTGGCTGATCATATTACGGCACTTGGCGGTAGTTGTATTATGTAAACAATGCGCTTGACACTTGATACTTGACACTCAACATATTGTATACACTGCACTATGGTGGGCATATGCTTATTTGCATGTAACATGCTACAAATTAGCTGATATTCAATGGGCAATTAAACATTTCATATCATAAGTCTATGGAAGACATTTCTTAATTAAAACAGACCATAGACCCTAACCTATTTGTTGTCAATGAAAAATCCCACATCAAAACTAACAAGAATGAGACTAGAGTTAGAAGAATACCAATTTACGGTAGAATACCTCAAGGGGAAAGATAAATATTTAGCGGATGCATTATCCCGCATAAACATAGAGACACTAATTGACATGAATAGGAAAACATCTGCGTAGATGACACAATAAAATTGCAAAAAGATCAAAAAGATCTAAAAACGAGAAAGAAGGGCTATCTTCGGCACGCCGAAGATCTAATAGCCTTGCAGACCCAACCTTTTCATAACGCTCATAGTGCTTTGCCCGTATCTAAGAAGTCCCGTCAACATACTAAATGCTGAGTTTGGACAAGATATCTTGATAACCAAAAAGGTTTTTAATCAAAAACCTGGTTTTCGACCGATCGTTCCTATGGCAGCTATATGATATAGTGTACCGATCTTAATAGGATTTTGCATTTATATGAAGAGCATAGTAAAACTAATAAATGTCGAGTTTGGTTAAGATATCTTGAAAAATAAATTGTTTTTTTCATACAACTTAATTTTCGCCCGATCGTTCCTATGGCAGCTATATGATATAGTGGTCCGAACTTAATAGGATTTTGCATATATATGGGGAGTATAGTAAAACTAATTAATGTGGAGTTTGGTCAGGATATCTTGAAAAATAAAATGTTTTTTTATACAAAAACTTAATTTTCGACCGATCGTTCCTATGGCAGCTATATTTATAGTGGTCCGATCCAGCTGGTTTTGACATATGTGCTGCGTGCAACAGAAAGAGGGAGCTCTGCAAACTTTCATTACGATAGCTTTAAAACTGAGATTAGTTCGCATAGAAACAGACAGACGGTCAGACGGACGGACGGACATGGCCATATCGACTCGGCTGTTGATACTGATCAAGAATATATATACTTTATGGGGTCGGAGATGTCTCCTTCTATGCGTTACACATTTCACGATGTTCATGCCACTTCAGTGCTAGTGTGAACACAGCATTGACTGAGCCTCACTCAGTGTAAGAGAGTCACTCAGTGAGACAGACTCACTCACTGAGAGAGACTCACTCACACAGTCGATCCCAGATGCGCTCAGCACTCTCCTTGTGGTCTCCTTTTCACCTCCATCACTCCAACCAAAAATATGTAAAATCACTTAATCAGCAGAGTTTGTTACATGCAGCAAAAAATTCTAATAAAGTGCTTTTTCACCAATCACAATCAAGGATTATTTATCTAACGCCACCCCCACAAACATTGGTCCTTTGAGCCGGATTATATATAAACCGATCGCCCCTACACAAGTTTTTTGGCAAAGATAAGTAAATACAAAATTTCCTTTCTATATATGTTGTAGTGGCGCTTGTTACCAAAAAAATTAGTTGACTATTTTTTTTTGTGCCCAAAAGTAGGCAATGGAATTTTCGTTAATGCAGTTGTGACTAACAATTGGTTTGACACTTAGTAGTAGGTTTCTTTTAGTTTTAGTAGTATTCTTGTTAGTTGTTGTAGTTTTCCTACCTACGCAGCATATGACAACGAAAATAAAATATAAATATAAAATAATATAATGTATATAATAATATAAATAGATTTATATTTATTTAAAATGTTAGTTGAAATATAAAATTATTCGATTGCACTTGGAAATTGCACACTTGTGTTCGATCTACAAGAAAAATGCGTGTCTGCGAATTCTCGACACGGTGAGGTTAGATGACACTTCCGCAAGCCAGACTCGACCTTTTCTACCATTGATCGTCAACCAGAGCAGTCGCATCTAATAATTTGGCGCAAAGCTTAGCCTAACCTGCAAGCACGTGTTTGTATTTTTTTTTTATCTTTTGTGCTAAATTTAAAAATAAATAATTAACACAAAGTTGCCACTACAAAACAAAACAAAAAAAAAAAAGAAACTTTTTGTTGCGGAAATAAACAAGGCTAACTCCCATTGGCTTGAGTCCATGCAGGCAGCTATCAATTGGTGCAGAGCTGATCGTAGTTTGAAAAAGCAAAGCCACAGTCGGATGGAACAACCTTTCCAAGTTTTAATTTTAGTGCCAATCCAAAAAGGATTGGCACTTATACAAAAACCCCTAAGCTCAGTTTCTCACTGAAATAAACGAGCAGAAGCGGAATTACGGGCACAGGGAGCATTGCAGATCATCGCCACCTGACTCAGTAGTATGTGCTAAACGAGCACGGATCGACGCACATAAAACCAAAAAAAAAAAAAAATTTTATAGGTTTGCAATAGAAAGTGTCGCCGCTGGTAATATTCCGAGCCATAACCCGCAGTGAAAAATATTTTTGATTTAACAAGTTTGCTATGCTCGAATAATTTAATTGAATAAGTTATAATAGTTAATTACCGAGCGGCCAACCTAGCGACGAGGAAGTTGCATATTTTTTTGTTTTGGGTTTTGATAATATTCTCTTTTATTTTTTTTAATTGTTTTTTTTTTTGCGTTGGGTATAATGTGCTAAAGCGAAAAGTTGCCGATTTAACAATAAGTGACAAGCAAAGTGATTTTTGTCGGCAAATGAAAATTTAAAACTTTAATTCATCTTAAACAATGCGTCAGAAAAATAAACACTGCCTTTAAACATATTTATAAATACCACTCGTATGAACACCGCCGAAAGTACTTTCGTCGCTGGATCTGCTAAATGGTAAGCTGGAGCACCCCATTATAATTTACAATTGTTCTGTTTACCCAGGGTATTACTTGACAGGTTCACGAACCAAAAATAAGTTTTTTTTTTCTCAGCAGCCAAATGAGCATGCGTACAATTTTAAACAGTTGTTGTTGTTTTATCGTCTTGTTGTGCCAAAGCGTGAACCGAGCCTATGTGAAACCTGAGTAAACAACTGTAAAAATAAAATTGATAACAAATTGGCAAGCTTTTGCTCAGTCGCATGCAATGCATATCAGCTGTGCCCCGTACAGTAGTGGCACTAATTATTACGCACACCTCCGGTTAATTTATTAAACATCTAAAATGGTCTTTAGCCGCATAATATAATCTGCATGGCTTAATCCTACTTTTATTATAACGACATATATTTTCGTTTTTGCCATATTTACATATATAAAATATACATATTAACCCTTACTGTTTTCAGCAACTTTTCGCTTCGGTATAGTAATAAAATACATCAACTAGTTTTTTTCCTAGAGTAAGCAAAAGATATGTTAAATTTGGTTAGTGGTAGGGAAGATAATATCATATAATAAATGATCATTGCTTCTAACTTAAAGTAAAATTAATTCATTTATATGTTGTAATAGTTTTTGGAATGTTAAGGAATAACCACAACTTAAATGAAAGATCTATGAAAAGCGGACTTGAGTCAATGTAAACAATAACAAGGGTGTACAAGGGATCGTCTCAAACATGTCTTGGCCCTTGGACTATCATGGTAGGGTGGGCATACGCTGCTCCCAATTTCCATACCTGGGGTAGCTATCGTACACTATCCATTCATAAATAAGTGCAGACCTACTTTTTCTTTTCTTTGTCTATGCTGTCGTTTCAACCGATTGATAGGCGACCTGTTCCCCCAAAACAACACGCGAAATTTTAATAATTAATAATTTGCAAACGAGCATTTGACATCTCGGAATTTTTTTTCTGAACCCCCCCATCGCCGACGAGATAGAGCCGGAAAACCGTAAGGTGTCTATACTCCCATCAGCTCGACTCTGCAACTATCCTACGTTGTATGTTACAATGTACATATATTCGGCAATATCCGCAATATTTTTTTCTTTAAGAAAACTGATTGGCAAGTTTCTATATATATATTATATATATATACAAATATATATAAATTATCCGACCACAAAACTAAAAACAGTTTAGTTAAATTTTGTGTTACAAAAGAAATCCACTTCAACATTTTTTGTATGTATGTACATACGCACTCGTGCACTTTCCTAACTATAAAAAAAAATTTTTTTTTTTTTTAATTACGTGTCCGCACTTAATCCGACAAGTTGCTTCACAATATTGTTTCCTAATTAATATTGTTAATTCATGTTCTTGGTCCGACACACAACATACACCAGGTTCACCAGCACGTATTGTACATATGTACATACATACATACATACATATATTCAATCCGAATATAATTGCCCATATGCATTTTGAATAGGCACTATATTTAACCTTATTATTTAATAAACATAAACACAAACTCCAATTCATTCTCTTAACTTATAATTTATTGCACCTTGTATTACTTAATAAAAATAAACACACCCCCCAATTCAGTTTCTTAACTTATAATTGTGCATAGTGCAAACGAATATATTTGTGCAACCACATAGTACATACATCCGATAAATAAATCCACAAATCATATGTACTATGTGTGTCCACATATAATATTTTTAAGTGCACAATCCACAGCAATATTATAACACAGCAATATTATAGTAATAAATTGGAATTTCAACCGTCGTATGTGCGTATGTACACACCACACACATATGTGTGTAAAAACCACAGCTGCCGATCCGTACTCCAATTACACGTTTTTATGCAATTGCACACATTCCCATACAATTACTCTTGTTCCGAGACGCACCAAATAAAAACACAACAATCATAATTAATTGATTAATAATACCACTAATGTATTGTAAATAAACAAAACCACTACACATTATTTTTTTTTTGATTTGGTGAAGACAGTTGCGAGAACTGTCTATGGGGTTGGTCGACGCTAAATACTGCGGCAGATGACCAGATACGTTGTGGCTAGGATAGCTCGAGGCAGTCCTGTGTGTAGTCAGTTGTTTGTGTTGGTTCAGTAAGCTGGTGTGTGTCTGTAATTGTAATAATTAATTATTTGGTTTAGATATTTATTTTTGCTTCATTTATGAATTTTGTTAGTTCTCTTAAATATAGATGTTCTTTTGTTTTTAGTATATCTTTAGTTGAGTCAGCGCGAGTAAAAATTTTGTATTTTCTTCTTAAACTATTAAATTTATGGCATTGGAAGATGGAGTGTTCTGCGCTTTCTATATCATTGCATACTTCACACATGTTAGTATCAACTTTGTTGATTTTGTGTAGGTATTTTTTATCATATGTATGTCCAGTGAAGAGGCGGTTTATGAGTTTAATATTAGATGCTGTCCACTTTATCTTCTTAAACCATGGGTTTTCTGTTAGGACCGGGAAAAGGCTAAAAAAGAAAATGCCCTTGGTTCTACATAATTCCTTATAATGGTTGTTCCATGTTTGCCATACGCGTCTTTTTGCTGCTCTAAATGCATCTCCCACACTGTAGCTTATGTTTAGAGGGATACCTTCTGTGCATGCCTTTTTGGCTAATGCGTCAGCTTTTTCATTGATCTTTATCTTTTTGTGACCTGGGATCCATACAATTTCTGCTTCTTCTAAGCGTGTCCAGTCTAATATCATATGAATTTCCGCCACTATGTATGAAGATGATTGTTTTTGCCTTAGAAGTGCTATCGCCCCCATGCTATCCGTAAATATTACATGTTTGGCGATATTTTTTTCCCTCGCTATTTCCATTGCTGTTTTTTTCGCTAATAGTTCCGCAGATGTCGAGGAGATTGCTTTGTTGCAGCTGAAAATATATTCTTCCTCGCTGGTAACGTTGTATACCGCTATTCCAACTGTATTTTCCATTACAGAAGCATCTGTTGCAAAAATGTGGTATCCCAATTCTTTAAATTTGTGGAGTGTATTTTTAAATGTCGACTGTATTTCCTCAAGAGAGGTATTGTTTTTAGTATTACTTAGTATTTTTGTTGTTAATTTTAAATTTGGATTTGAGTTATACTTTGTTTTTGGTTTTGTGTTGTCCAGTATGTCTTTGTGCGCTTCATATGTTTTCCTGTATGGAGATTTGTGGTACGTTGATTTGATTGTGTTAAATTGGTCTTGATTGTATGTTTTGAGTTTAATTATTTCTTTAACAGTTAACAGTTCAGCCCTGAAAAGGGGAGGGAGCTCTCCTGCAAGCGCATAAATGATGTGAGTCGGCGTGGAAGGTGTCACTCCCATACATCTCCTAAGTGGGATTGCAAGCAGTGAGGTTAGGTTTTTTGCTATGCCTTTATTCATGTTCAGCGTTGTACAGGCGTATTCTACTTTGCTTCTTATGAAGGTTTTGTATATGTTTACAGCAACACTTGGTCTAAGGCCACCTTTGATCGATGTTGAAAATTGCAATACCTGTTGGCTCCTCAGCATTTTTGCTTTTACATCTTTAACATGATTCTTAAGCGACATATTTGCGCTCAGCAACCTTCCCAGAAATTTGATTTCCGAGGCTTGCGGTATGTTCCTCCCATTAACGACTAAGTTGATCATTCTTCTCTTGCTTTTGCTCATCGATAGGGAGGCTGTTTTGGTGGCATTGAAGTTCAAGCCTATATCTTCACATAGCAATTGGAAAGTTGATAACTTGTCCTGTATGTTACTCACTGCACTTGGGAAGGATCGTTTGCTAGATAGGATTATAAAATCGTCAGCATACTGGTATACTTTAGTATCCGGGTCTTCTATTTGGTGCAATCTTTTAGTGTACAGATTGAATAGGATAGGAGACAGGCAACTACCTTGCGGGATTCCTCCGCTTACTTCTAGCATTTCTTCACCAATTTTTAGACATCTGCTGGACATGAAATTCATTATCCACATGACATATTTTGCGGGTATGCCCTCGTGTAACATGATTTTACTTAAATATTCTAGACAGACACAGTTATACGCATTGTTTATGTCCAGACTGACTATGACTACTGCTTTCTTCTGTTGTTTAAGTAGCGAGATTGTGGTTAGTAAATCATTTATGCACATGGTCGTGGATTTGTTTTTTCTGTATGCATAGGACTTTATAGGTAAGATGTTGTTTTCTTCCACGTATTTAGAGATTCTGTTTTTGATCATCATGTTAACAGTTTTGGCAAGGGCCGATATGAGCGATATTGGCCTATAGTTCTCAAGATTCGTAGGGTCTTTGCCATGTTTGAGTATGGGTGCTATGTTTATGATTCTCCACTGAGGAGGAACTATGCAGTCTTTAAAGAGATCATTATATATGTCAATGAGCTTTGCTTTTCCGTTCTCATTTAATGCCTTGAGCATGTCATATGTTATTTTGTCATGCCCTCCCGCTGTGGGCCTTTTGTGATCTAGGGCTTCGGTTAACTCTGACATGGAGAAGAGCATCTCTGCATAATTTTGTTCTTTTGGGAACCTGAGTTCCTGGAAATTGGTTGATCTTGAAACCTGGTCTTTTAACATTTGTAGAAAATGCTTGTGCATAGATGGGCAGAGTTTGGCTGGTTCTGGCTGTGGGCAGTTTTTCAGGGAGTTGAGGAATCTCCAGGCCATTCTTGTGTTCGGTTGCTTGTCCACCATTCTGATTTTGTTAATGTAGCTTTCTTTTTTTGCTTTGGCAACTGCATTTTTCCAGAGTTTCTTTAGAGCAATAGCTTTGTTGAAATTAATAATGGAGGGGAAATTGTTGGCCTTTGCTTGTGAAGCTATAAAATGTCTGTATATTTTTTGTAGGTCGTCAGACCACCAGTATTTGGGGATTTTATTATTTTGTATAGCGTAGCTTGATGTTTTGATTACAGATGAGAATTTTTTGTTGAAGTCATCCAGATTATTGCTGA